GCACATTAAATGCTCTATCCGTGTCTTTTTTCATTCTGCCCCAGAGCAGAGGTTTCCAAACCCTTTTGTCAACCAAACCCTGTAGACATAAAATATTAATTCAGGGGGTACTTGAAGTAAATGTTTCAATTATTTAACAACGCATTTGTAGTTTAACTTCAAAGTGGATTCAAACCTCTTTTTAGTTGTGATAGTGTCTCAGTCCACATTACATTCACACTGGTGATTTTAGAATATTTAATCATAATAATATTATTTTTAAGTCTAATTACAAAAATGGACAAACATGTATCATTGTACATTGGAATTGTTAAGTAAAATAAATAAAAATGAATATTTGAAAAAAGAATGCATTTTATTTTATACTACAAGTAATACTAATATTTATGCCTTCACGTTCAAACCCTCAAGATTTTAACTTTTCAAATCATCAAGCTTTATTGTTTGTTTATTTAAAATGTGTAAATAAAGTGATCCGAGTGCACATCGCTTTCCCAAATGCACAGAAAACTCGGTACATGGCATGCAGATATGGAGTTCGCTGCAGTTACTGTGAACAGAGCTGCTGTGAGACACTGAAAACACTGGATCATGAGCTGCTTGCGTGTGAATAAACAGTTTGCAAACCTCGGTATGGAAATCTCTGCTCCAGAGAATTAGTGGAAATGTAGTTTGGTTAATCTGTCTCCTCATAAACCAGCAAAATCAATAGTGTAGTCTGGCAAGCTCAGTCGCTATTCTTGATCAACAGAACACTGAAGGCCTAAATTGGAATGTTAAGATTCACAATTACAACTAACTATGATCAATAACAATTTGCTTCGTTAAATCTTTCATTGACATGACCCCAACTCATTTCTAGCTTTCAAGCTGGCATTCTCATCTGCTCAACTCTTAAACACGATCATTATTTACTGTGTTTTTTGTATGCATCATAATGATGTTCTGTATTTGGAATCACTAGGCCATGCAGTTTTTTTCTTTGTTTTCAGTGATGTCTCTGTTGGCTACAAAAAATGGTAAACTGCCAGACTAGGTGTTCTCATTCGATCTCCCATAAATAGCCCACGTTACAGCATTATGGCACCAGCTTCCATTTTTACAGGCAATATTTCCTCATTTTACATTTCCCATTGTTGTGACCTCCTCTCACTTTAACCTTTGATCTTTTACCTCTGCACTCTACATTAATCCTCTAGCCTGTGATTCATGCGTCTAATAAGATGCAATGCATCACGGCCAGACAAGGACTCTCAAAATTTCAGAATGCTTACAAAAGACCTGCAATCTGCTCCAAATTCTAGTGAGTTTGAAAAATCCTCACTTTGAATTACAGATAATAGACGCGTGCCAGTTTATCGGTCATGTCCTGCTTCTTGTCTCCACTCTCTGTTTTGTCATTATGGATCTCAGAGGAGCCAGTAACAGATTGGTGCTGAATACGGGAAGGGATTTGGCTGCGTTTTCTAGATTCTTTCAGACGAGCGTTCCCTCGTGAGACGCTGGAGTACTCGACGTTTCTCTGAATACGAGATGCAGTTCAAAGAAACGTTTGCACCTCCGGTCGTGTGCAGATTGATGACTCGTGACACCCGTATTTCATCCAAAGAGGCTAGTAAACAAACGATTCTGGACAGGCGCAGTATGGAAATGTGCTTTGGATGTCTCAGAGACCTGGAAGTTATGACTGCACACGCTTTGTGGCTCCGTTCCGGGTAATATACTCCCAACACATTCAGTCATTATAAACGGACCACGGTCAGGGCCAAATTGACATCAAATGAGGGCTTTGAATTAGCCCTTCTCGTCGGCATTGATTTATGCTCTGTGTTAAATTGCATCTCCTGAGGAGACGCGCGTTTAAACAACAGCTTTTCAAGAGCGTAATTGATCTGGTTGTAAGAGATCCTGAAAGGGCTGGAGGCCCTCAGTCAGGAAAACGTTCATTTCTCTGCAGAGAAAGAAAAGCATTCGTTTCAAAGACCGATTGCACTTCGTCCGTTTCAAAGGCTGAGATAACGTGTTTTAACAATCATTGCTTACGTGATGAACCACGGCTAATTTGCATAGCACGATCTTATGAGTGTATTTTGTAATATTCATTTTGATTCCTTCGTTATGTGACACAGGAGAGCCAAAAGTGCTGCACTGCAAACACAATCGGTTTGATGGCCTACATGATGGCATTCATTTGCATCAGTTAATTATTTAATTGTGTGTGGCTTCACTTCTTAATTGGAATATAGGCTTTGTAATTGGGTTGCTGGTGTCGTTTGAGTTTACGATGGCTTGTTTCACTAACTAATGAACGGTATGAGAGCCTGTGGTGTGTAACAAAGTGTTGCTGGTCTGTCCGCCCCAGCGATGTGCCTGCTAGCATGCCCTCTGAGCCCTGCAATTCACCCACTGTTAATGAGATTCTAATATATGCGGTACGGTTCAACAAGCACGGAGCTGCCTTTCTGCGCCGGGGCTCATGTTCGCTGTGTGTATCTGTGACAATAGTGTTTGTGTGTGTGTGTTTATTCTAATGAGGATCATTGCAGTTACTGCTGATTGCGGTCCTCTCTAAGGCCAGGTGAGCTTCCTCTAACGACAGCCGCCTTCATTATTTGAGGAAATCGTTGTTAGTCATCACAAACGGCTCATAATAAAAGCAGTTTTTGTTAACTCAGTCAGTACGTAGTCTCCCAAGATGATGAATGGCGTACCAAAAGTGGTTTAAAGATCAGTTTGTGGTGTGGAGTTAGAAATTAATTTTTATTTTTATTATCATTGACACACAGAGCAAACCCCCTCTAATTTGTATATGTTCCCTTGAACTCTGACACTTGGAAATCGATCAAAACAACAGATTTGATGGGACGAATTTGCATATTAACTGCCACAGCTTGCTAGTGATGGGGAAAAGGCTACAATTTTAAAACTAACATTTAAAAAACTTGGTTAAACTTCCTCAGTGAATGGTACAAAAATTATTTGGTCCTTTTTCAGGTATTTCTGAGTTTTTTCATCATTACCGACTTGTTGATATTTTTTTTATATATATACGTTAATATGTAAAATAAAAAATTTAAAATAATTGATGTATAATTGTATATTTTTATATGAATTGATATTAAATTAATATATTTTAATTATGATTTGATATGAATATTCATTAAAGTATTAAAATGGTCAAATAGTGACATTTCTCAACTTTTCTTGACTATATCCTTACTGTTTGAAATTTGTTGAATGCCGAATTGTTGTGAATTATTAGTGAAATTTTGCAACCCTAAATGCTAGCCCTAAACTTTTTCAAACTATACAGAATAGGCAAATTGTGTCTAAATTAAAGAACTATTCCCAGACAGCAACCAGTGTCGGCCCAGATCCGGCCCACATCTGGCCCGCATGGATTTCACGCCAAAACTATGTTGCTGTCTGGGTTTGATTTAATAATTAATGGCTTCCTGAAGATATGTTTAAGTGTGAAAAATATATTCCATGAATATCAGTGCTGGGGTCTCTTAGGGTTGATGATGTCTGTGTGCTAGTGTGTGCCTGTGCGCATATAATACAGGAATAGAGGGAAAGAAGGCAAGAAAAGGAGACAGAGATACAAGAGAGCCGGTGGTATTTGTTCTAAATGTACAATGCAGTGTATTCAGAAATCTGGGCCAAAAAACATCGATCCCAAAAGCTGGGCCTGGCGATTAGACTCATCATTCACACACTCAATAGCTGGAAATATTTCGCCTGCCAAAGAAAAAAATAAAAGCATGGTCGAAAATACAGCTCCTGTAATCATCAAAAAGGTAGATAAGGAGTTAACAGGCCTCGTTTTAAATGAATTAGTTTTGCCTTTAACCAAAAAGCGGCACCATGTATGCAGATGCATTTGTCTTGGTGGATGTCAAAGTTTTACAAGACAACATTAACTAATGTTTTGATATATGATCTTTTCTTTATGGTAGATTTACAAGTAAAAACATCAAATGCATGTAAAATAGGAATACATTTCAAATCTTGCATTGCCTGTGCCGCTTAGACCACACACAGAGACAGGTTATTCACTAATTCCTCACTAGGGGTCCCTGTTACTCCTCTATTTGATCAGAGACTCACACTTACTCATGCTGAGGTTCCCACTAAATAGACTTTTTCTCATACTTAAAATATATCTTGATATGCTTTCTTTTTATGTAGCCAAGGTCATAGGTTGGATTCCCATGGTATGCATATACTGGGAAGATGTAGAAAAGGAAAACAGCTTAAACCAGGGGTGCCCAAACTCGGGTCCTGGAGGGCCGGTGTCCTGCAGAGTTTCGCTCCAACCCCAATTAAACACACCTGAAGCAGCTAATCAAGCTCTTATAGGCATACTAGAAACTTACCAGCAGGTGTGTTGAGGCAAGCTGGAGCTAAACTCTGCAGGACACCGGCCCTCCAGGACTGAGTTTGGGTCCCCCTGGCTTAAACCAACCTAAGTAGGTTTACTGGTTTTTACTTTGATTTGTTGGCTGGGTTTTGAGGATTTTAGCATTTTAAAGCTGGTTGAGAGACCGTCTTAAACCAGCTACGATCAGCGAAGCAATTATGGTCAAATTATGTTTTTTGTTTCAGTAGGTAAAATGTACATTTGTTTCAAGTCTGTCAGCATGTTAATTTGAACCAAAGTCATATTTGTATAGCCAAAAATCAACTTTAACATTCCAAACTGTCCAGTCTTTGAAGGCTTATGTATAAAGCTTTATATATCTGTTTCCCTAACTTTAAAAAACCAGTACAACAGTGCGTAAAAACTGCGTTTTGTAAAATGAAAATGTGTTTTTGTTAATCCATCAGCCTCCTTGGTTGCAGGGATGAGAGGTTTTCCTTGCTTGTGATTGGCTGTCTTTTTAGTGCACCTGTTCTGTGGGAAAGCCCCATTGGCTAGCCAAGATGTCACTCGTTTTCGCCTCCTCTTCACGCGCTTCCCGCTCTCAGAGCTGGAGTACAGCTCGACTGTTGGCCTTTCTGTCTCAGGAGAACTACGCGAGTAAGTTCATTTAGGGAAAGCGAAGCTAAAAATCAGACATGTTAACGCAAAAGCAGCGTCACCGGAGCGATGGGAACATTTCAGAGAGAGTCAGCGTCGACCGCCGGTGGTTTTGCGCTCTCGTGCGCCAAGAGACGGATTCATAGGACGCGCGGAGAACATCAACTTCTGCGGCGCGTAACTTCATAACGCCACCGGTCCGGACCTCTACACTTGCTTTAAACTTTTATGTACTGAAGGAATAATAGCACCAGAGGAACAATGACAGTGACTTTCCCTGGCTTCTCATAACGCCGTATCACTTTACTGAAGCGTTTGGTTCTCGTTTCTCACGGAATTTTGGTGATAGTTAAAGGACACGGATTTTTGGGGACCGTAACAACGCCAATCTGCCGTCGAGCCAGTTACATTATCACATGACTTTCCACAGGATTATGTTATTTATTCAACAACTTCTCAAACTAGACTATTCATAATGTCGTGTTTGAACAATACACTACCACCCAGAAAGCCAAAGATGATCGCTGGACGGATGGCGTTGCTGCAAGCGCTCCTCGTCGCGTCTCTCCACGGAGGTAAAGAAACATTTACGCACATCCAAAACTTGTTGCTAGATGGCAAATCGTGCAGATTAAATTTAGCGAGCATGCTAAAAATGTCAAGCATCCTTCATATATTCAAACAGCTGTTTGTTATGAAGCCCAATGTCAGTGCGCTTTCACGTCTGTAGCGCGAATGCAAAAAAAGTTGGTGCAGGCTGCTCCCTATTCCACTTGACCCATTTTAACATCTTAATTTACAATTGAAATATTTATAGATGAATACACACACTTCTGTGGTTAGTGGTTCGTGCATTTGGTCGTTGGAAGAGACTGGCGCGCAGCGACAGCAGCGGTGTGGTTTTGTTGTGCCAAGCGTATAAATAATAGAAATGTTGGTTTCTCACCTTGTTGTTTTGCAGTCTTATCATGAATTATGCATGCATGTAGTTAGCTGGCAAGACAGAGATGTAGAAACGGGATGATTGAAGCGTACCGCACGAAATATCGCGTGGAAACGACAGTTTTATGATAGTGACACGAGCACATTTATTCTCGGGCATTTAGGAAGAGAGCGTGACGTGCAATGTTTTAGCTGTTTATAATTATTATTATTTTTTACATAAGAGTATTATCCGTAAGGTCTTCAATCTCGTCAAAAACAAAAACATCTTACTGTGCAAATGAAAGTAAACCCAATTTCTTTTCGCAGGAGTATTTTCTCTTTCTGTCATTAATTTATAATGAGCTGATGTGCTGAGTAACACAGATGCGTTTCATTTTTTTTTGTCTTTATGTGGACAGTATTGTTATATTTGAGTGAGTATTGAATACATACAAAGATATTTGCTGTGCTAAAGGTGAGCCACCCTATTTTCACTGTCCACAGAAGCAAGAGACAGTGATGAAATGAGCAGACTTGTGTCCCAGCAGCGTGCTGTTTTTATTCATCCTCTCCAGCTGAGGACCCGCAGTGGCCTTCACATCTATTTTTACTTACACTATCCCAGCAAGTCTGAAACTGGACATGTCATGCAAACAAACAATTAGGCTGTGGGGGGTGAGATAGAGACAGACAGAAAGTGTGGGGGATTGCAAAATTAGAAAGTATGTGTTGAAGAACGTGAGGGATGACAAGTTTGTCCAAGTGTGCGAGGGCTTGGGCGGTATCCGAGATGTTGACTCTGGAGACAGCACTTGCTGATCAAGCACTGAAACTGTCATCAACATCATCATTACTGTTTTTTTCCCCAGCCTCCTTTCCTGCAAACGTGGCCTCATACTGCTGTGTGTAATGGACTGCGTGCAAAGAGTACATCACTTTCAAGTTCAGACAGCATGTGGTTTGAATGCATGGAATTGTGTCCGGTGAACTGTGCAATGTCCGCAGGAATATTTGCAGATTTGTGTTTGTAGAGAACCGCGCAGTTTTTGCAGGTTAGCGGCTGTCAGTATGATTACGAAAGTGCCAGTTGTTTGATTTATTTATGCTTTTTCTTTTAGACTACAGAACTGCTGACATACAGTAGGATGGACTGTTCGAATTGCGCAGCATATGAGGAATGGAAGCAAGAAGCAGAAAACAGCTTATAATGTGCATGTGTCTGTGTGATGTGCCAGTGTTTGATGACTGAGGAGACAGATCTGTGAGTGAGTTACAGCAAATTTGCAATTTGTCTGCAATTGAAGGCCTGAAAACGCACCTGTTCTCAACGACGCCATCGATAAATCTGTGGGATGAAAGGTTTTTGTTGCTTCAGGGAGTTTTAGGAGCTTAATTGACAAAAGCAGATGGATGTTTACCGAAGGACCGTCTTCCAAGTAGGGCTTAGAGCTCATTTTCCTAGCTGTGCGAAAACTGACTGTGAAGCATCGCTCATCTTCAGCTAACCCCTCCCTCCGGCGTCTGAGGGCAGATATCTGTGTGTTTTGGGGCTCAACCGCAGGTCTGAACAGTTGTAACAAAACCAGAGGTGTTATTAAAACTGTCAGACTATCAGGCTGTCAAACACAGTTGCCCTGCGACACACACACGCACGCATAGACACACACACTGGCCGTGTGCGAGCCAGGCCGAGCAAGGGGCCCATATGTTTGAGGGTTGGCTGACACCAGGGAGATGATTTGCTCTAGGGAGACTGTGAAGCCTAAATCTCTTTTGCTCGTTCTCTCTTTCTCTCTCTGTACTCGTTCATACAAACACACACAGCCGTGCAGGCATTCAGGCATGCACAGACACACACCCCCTTGGTGGGTTTTCTTGCTGACAAACTTTCTAGCAAAGCAATAAATAGTGCATTTTTGCTTTGTTTCTTAAATTCATCCGATTAAATTCGAGATTCACAACAAGAAGTGTGAGAGCTGCGAGTGTGTGCTTTTAATAATCCATAGCCAAAGAGGGGTAATCAAGAAGATATTTCCCCACAGATTGGCATCCAGAGAGAAAAGAGGGATAGTGGACGGGAGGGGGGCAGATGAGTGAAAGTAATGACTGTGATCATTATCTTCTGTGTTTTTAATTGAGATAATGACCCAGAGGAAGACAATGAAACTCCCAAAGGAAAGATTTCTTTCTTTCTTTCTGCCCCCCTTCTTCTTTCATTTCCCCGTCTATTTTTCTCCTTTTGATTTCCTAGAAGTGACTCTATTTATTTATTTTTATTTATTTGTTTATTCTCTATTTGTTTATGCTCTATAATCCCGAACAAAGAAGCGTTGTTATTCGGGAGTCTAAAGGTAAATGTTTCCTTAGAAATCCTCTGTTGTGTTCCCATACGAAATACTTAAATGCGATTCTGTCAATTCTAACCCTCAGAGCCGTAGAGAAAGAAGTTTGCTAAGACCGAAATGGTTTTCCATTACAACTGCAGAAAGACCAGTTAGCGAGTTCCCATTTTGCAAACGTAATAAAATTTAAAACTTTCATCTCAGCAAATTGATTTCAGTCGGATTCAGAAAGGAAGAATGAAGAGGAGGGGGGGAAAAATCATTAGATCATTGGAGCATAACTGTACCGTGGGACTTTAGGAATTTGCGTATTGCAGTGAGAACACACACACAGGCTCCCGCTTCACTTTTATTAATTCATTCACTCATTCTGTGACTTTGTGAAGATTTTTGCATTAGGGAAGGGCATGTGGGTAAATACAAAGCCAGACTGAAGAAGAAAGGCAGACTGTGATACAAATTGGCAGCAAAAGCAAAACTGGATGGACTGATGAAGAAGGCATGAATAAATTGCCTTAATGATTCAAGAATTTATGCACATCTCTATTTTATTCTTTTGTTTTCTTGAAAACTTGTTTTCGCCATCTATTTGCAGATTGCCGGAAGATATTTCTCTGTCATTAAGGACTCTCGGCCAGCAGTTCATTTAACGCGTACATGCCCTCAGAACTCCTGAGAAATTATTGGCATTATCGCCAGCTAGACTCCACATATTCTCACGCTCCCTTTTGGATGTATTGTAGCCATATGGTATCGGCTCTGGAAATTAGAGTTGCACTTTTGTGTTTCTAGTTGGCTATCATTCTAGTTGGCTATCATTCTCTTTTTCTTTCTCGCTAAGGCAATTTTCTGTATCGATTGGGCTTGGTTCTTTCTCCTGTGATGATATGAGAAAGGGAGAGCGAAGGAGGGGAAAAAAGAAGATACTGGAGGTGTTAGAGGTGGCTCTTGTTTGTGTAGATGGAATAATTAACGCTCATTAAGAGGGTGATGAGAGGCTTAGGGGTGATGCTACTTGTTAGCATAATTAGAGTCAAATAGGCCTCATTATGCAAATTGGGAGGAAGTGTGATTTTGTCAGTGTTTACCTGAACTCTGTCGTACTGATGACCTCAGATAGAGATGACAGTGTCGAGTGAAGCAGAGCATCTAAAGAAAAGCATAATGCGCTTTTATAGGGTGAGAGGAAATAGAAATAAAATAAGCAATGATCTATTTAAGAGATGCGAAGGAGAAAAACGAGTAATGAGATGACAGAAACGAGGGAGGATGGATGAAATCTGTAATCTGTAATCAAATATAAGCTCTGAGGGCAATAAAGAAGCCGCTCCATTTTCAGGGAAATGAAATGTTTCTCAAATTATTTTACCGTAGAGAGATCGCTGGATAAGCCTTTCAGGCCAACTCTGTCGCAGAAAGAAAAACATCTCTCTGTATAATAGGATGGGTGAAAATAATAAAACAAAATACGATGCCCTGCAAGCAGCAGTGTCAAAGCTAACAGCGTGAAGTCATTGTGCTGTGGTGAAGAGCGCTCCATGTGTCAGTATTTTCCATTCCTCTAGAGAACACTTGCTTGGTGGCCTGCAAAGCATTTTAAAGCGCCGGAAGCCGAGACTGTGAAATGTCGCAGGTATGGGATTTTATATATTTATGGGGCTTGTGTGTGTCTATGGTTCTCCATAAGGCACCGACCTCTACTGTGGCTGTACTAAGGTGTGTGTGTGTATGTGTGATGGATCGAGGCTCTCGTTAACCGCAGGCCTCAGTGGGTGATTACTTCTCAACATGTTGCCTGTCCTGCTGAGTTTTGGCACCATGATACACACACACACACACACGGTTAAGACCTAGATGATTTGCTCAGAGTTGGGTGGAGCGCTCACAGCGCTGTGTGTGTATATGTGTACTGCTCATCTTGGCACTAGATCACTCCATCACTTTGCCAGGCATAAGTTCTGTCAGATGGTCTGTCTGCTTGGCGTGACCTCACTGCTCTCTGTACGCATGCGATGCAGTAATAGATAAATAATGCTTCTATTAATAACATAAAAGCTTCCTTGGTGAACAACTTAAAATATAAAGAAACAAATTAACATTCCACATGGTGCAAGAGTATGTTCTGAATGATTCACGCCCTCTCATTGGCAATTTCTGTGTCTCTCTGTTGTTGGCCAGATGAATGACCCGCTCTGTGTTTTGTTCTAAGAAACAGTTTTGATTGAAAACAAAAAGTTTCATTTAGCCAATTAGAATACAAGAAGCAGATGAAGTCATGTCAACTTATTTATGAAAACCACATAGGATGT